ACACACACACACACACACACACACACAGTCTTTCGGTTGGTTGTTTTGGGGTTACTCTCGTCAATTTGTTCTTCAGTGGGGAAAATAAATGCAATTGTAGGTCTGGAGATTGACCAGTCTAAATGTTTCCACTTCTCTCAGATGATGAATTCCTTTGTTGTATTTCGGGGTTATTATCTTGATGCAAAGTGAAGGATCTTCAAATCACTTTGGTTACGCTCTTAAATTGGTCGACAAAATGTTTCTGGAGACCTTTTAACACATTTTGCTGTTGCCATCATTGAATAAATCATTCATGTTGTTTAATGAGCCCATGTCAGAAATTCTGTTACTTTGCACACAAAAGGATTGGTTCTTCTTTCGGACATCCCAAATTGTTATACTGGCTATGGTTGGTGTTTGTGCTCTGGCTCTGATTGATTTTCCATTTCCTTTTATCAATACAACAGGTTTCCATATTACCTCTGGCTCTAACTCGTAAAAAGATCTTCATCGGAAAAATACATATTTGTAACCAAGTGTAGGCATTGAGAACAATTTTTCTTTCAAATTATCAAATTAATAGGATTCATCTGGCCCACAAATCTGACAGTCACATGATCCAATACTTTTTCTCAGATGAAGTAGCATCTGTGTTCAAATAAACGGTCTATTTCAAATAAATGTTGATCTCCAGTCTCATATTCATCTGAAAAAAAAACTAGATGTTTTCAATAAATAAAAAAATTATGCATTTAAAAAGAACGTATCAATTTCAATATCAATACATTTGTTTCAACTAAATGGTGTCTGATTACAGAGAGAAAGTGTGTTGCTAGTGAAGACTCTTGGAATTTAAAAAAAAAAAAAAACTGCCACTTAGGACTGCCTGCCTAGTAAGCTACATGCTATAGCTTAGCACATGGTTCAACTTAGCTCATGATGCATGTGGCAACTCCATGGCAGTGGCCTTTTGCAGAGTTACCATATACCGGTGCATTTGCATAGAGATCATCATGCAGGCAAAGCAATGTCAACGCTGTTGGATACGGGCTGCAGCATAACACCACAGGTAGGAGATCGAAAAAGAAGCGAGAGTGCGTTTGGCCATAACAATGGCAGTATTAGCGACCGGCGCAATAAATCATGCACCAACATTCTGGCCACATCAAGGCACCGGCACTCAGGAAGTGGAGACTGAACGGTACCACACACACCAAAGGCTGAGCTCCACAGGAGGGGCTGGTCTGCAGACCACGTTGCCACGATGAATGTAAGGCGCCGCCAGATGTTGGCCCTTCATAGAGCAGATGACAGTGTCAGAGCTGAAAATAAATAGGAGGTGAATTAAAACAAAAATGAGACGAGACACGGATGCAGTTTGTCAAACCATGAGCAGCCAGTGGCTCATTTGGTGATGAAAGAAGCACTAATTGATTCAAGTCTTGCCAAGCACCCCCCCTACTGACTGTGACAGCTCAAAGGGAACATTTCATCCTATTAGAGCCATAGCTTGTCAATGTGCAAGGGAGAGCTAGTTACAGCAAGAGTCGAGTAACAGAGTAAAATCTTGGAAAAAAAACAGATAAAAACTGGAGTCGGGGCGGTAAAAAAAAAGCAGTCTACTGTAAAAATCGCCTCCAAGCCCGTCAATTGTGACAAGATCTGACATTGCATTTGTGTGTGTGATGTGATCTGATTACCCAACCTGAGTGGGACAGAAAGCAGTGCTCATGTTTGAAGGTCAGACATACAGTAACAGTTGCCATGGAGACACCAAGTAGACCAAGTAAACCATGTGCAGTGTTGCCACTTTATTGAGGCATCTGCATCAACCCGTGTGGAGTGCATAGTTCGGAAATTTGCCTGGTTTCAAATACTTCGAGCAAAGATACTGTCTTTCTGTTTTCAAATTCATGAATAAAATACACTTATGTGACTCTTCATTTGGGACACAGTGTATTAAGAACCAATGTGGGAGCAGCATTCTATCCCATCCTAAAAATACATACATCTGATGAATGATAAAATGATCGTTTTCAGAGGTGACACAAAAAGACAAAACAACACTTGAGGTGTGAAGTGAGGAGTTTATCCTTTAAATGCTAGCGAACTGATTTGAAATTCCCAGATCTCAGGGCTCTCAGGGAACGATGGCAAATTGACCCCAAAATGTTTCCGCAGGCATATTTCGGTCAAATTATTGTTGCTGATTCAAGCACGTGTTTTTTTTTTTTACTTGTTTTTGTGTGCTGAACGTTTCTGCTTGTTCGAGCAAACCTGTTGCAGAAAGTGCCAATGAATGCAGGATGCAATATGTAGATTGACAACTTTAACCACATTTATTACATGTTACTGTCGAGCACATCTTGATACGAGTGGCAAATTTTAACCTTCCTCGCCAAGTTTCCATAGAAACCCGCTGGAGTTCATGTTGATTTCCTGAGTTCATCAAATACTGGAGAAAAATCATTTGGCAACCTGTCATTGGGGACAAAAATAACTATAACGGCATGCTTGTTGCATTTCTGAACACTCTCATAATCTTCGACGCTCGAAGTCATTTCCATAAACGTTTGAACCTCCTGAACCACACAGCTTGTACGATTCATATCACATGCCACCTCTCATTCAGAGAGCATTAAGTGTCAGCGCTTTGAACACAGGCATGGCTCCTAATCTCTTTATATTTCTTTGCATCCGCTCAGCTAACGTCATAGCTTTTTATACACCTGCCCAGAGGCGAGTTCCGCTCAAGAAAATCGTCAAACTGGAAGATCTCCATCAGCTTGGCAGCAGAACACAGTGGAAGTCTTGGATCAGTTCAGGGGATTGGCGCAGCTGAGCTCTGCCATAGAAGACACGTGACGTGCACTTTTGAATAAGAGGAGCGTTTAAGGATGGAGGGAGCAGCGGGAGAAAGAGCGAGAGAGGGGTAATCACATCAAGGGATTAGTGGCTGTTATCAATGGAGGACAGGGAACCTGCTTGGTGACATATTCAAGCGTGCTATCTATCTATCTATCGATCGATCGATCGATCGATTGATCGATCTATCTATCTATCTATCTATCTATCTATCGATCGATCGATCGATCGATCGATCGATCGATTGATCGATCTATCTATCTATCTATCTATCTATCTATCTATCTATCTATCTATCTATCTATCTATCTATCTATCTATCTATCTATCTATCCATTTGTCTGTCTGTCTGTCTGTCGGTCTGTCTGCCTGTCTATGCCTGATGATGATTCACTTACACAGCAGTCTCTCCTCGTCCCCACCTCTGGGCAACAGTTATGATTTTGGTTCGTAATATTCTCTCTACCTACTTCATACGGGAAAATAATATTCTTCTCCCCTGAGCGTTTGTGTTGGCATGCGCCCTCCCTTGAATGATGGCCATTCACTGGTGAACAAACAAGACATTTGTCTGTATCACCTAAGGGAAGCATTTGCAGCTTATCCTTTACTTCAATTTTCATTTTGCAAGTGACTCATACATTCCAAACTTTGTTGCGAGGACTTGGGCATGCTGGATGTACTCTACATGGACAGAAATAGTGGAAGACGTGGTTATTACACCTGCTGGAATGACACAATTAACACCTCACGATATTTGTAAATTTGAGGTTGTAATTTGCTGTGGTGTACGAGGTGTGTCACAAAAGTTCATGAATAAGTGGCAGAAAAGATATATTTTAAACAATAAACTACAAACCATGGGCTCTATTTTCATAGAGAGGCACATGTGTGCTTAGCGTAAAAACTGGCGCATTTTTGTGCCGAGGCCAGTGTAGATTACCGTGCTTGGGGATTTGGTAGAACACGCTGCACCTTTCTGGTACACCGAGGACATTTTCTATATTACATGCCGCTGGAGCACTTGGCAATTTGGTGACAGAAAGTACACTCGACTTTAGACCAGGTAAAAGCAGTTCTATATTCTGGCGCAGATGGAGGAACATGATTTTGGTGAATTTGATCACCGTGCAGGCAGACAGATTCTCCGCTCCGTTGATATAGCTGTGGTGGATGTCATTATATTTCATTCATAAATATGAAAACACCCCTCTGGACTGAGCACAGCAATGCGGGGTCATGGGCATGAATGGTCATAGGGATGGCTCTGGCCCTAGCCAAATTGACATTATCTGCAAGTGAAGATCTGTTTGAAGTTCCTTTTAAACTTTTTACCTTGCATGCTTTGATCTTCTTCAGTGACTCCACTGCACATCTCTCCTGAATTTAACTCAACTCAACTCAACTCAACTCAACTGTATTTATAGAGCACTTTCAAACAGCCATCGCTGCATACAAAGTGATGTACATGGAGCAATTAACATATACAACAAACAGTAAAGCAAATCGGTAACAAAGACGGTAGAAAGCACCGAACAGCAAAACCAAGAACAAATCGAAGTCATGCTGAGTCAAATGCCAAAGAATACAAGTGAGTTTAAAGGGAATGAGTGGAACCGCTTTCAGTGGACTGGAAACAAGTCGGCTGTGTTCACTTCCACAGTGGCGCAAACACTCCTTTCTAACTGCGGCTAACTACAAAAACACAAAAAAAACCCCCAAAAATCCACCCTTGCTCACACTTAGACTGCACCTTGCACATTTCTTGCGCTGGGCACAAAATGAGTTTATACATCAACGTGGGGCAGACAATCAACCAGCATGCCTGCAAAGCGATCCTGAAGCTTTTGCTTCGTTCAAGTGCATGAGAAGAGGTGAAAGTTGTGGCAGAGCAGCTCATGGCTGCTTAGCCATGACAAAGATCCTGCTCACAATGCCCTGAGCATCCAATAGTTCCTGTTTGAAAAGAACATCGGTGTGCTTGAGCAACCTCCCCAGTCACCAGAATCAGGTCTGTTTGATGTTTTTTCAGCGGCACAGTGATTGACCAGTTAGCATGTCCGCCTCACAGTGCAGAGGCACAGGGTTTGATTCCGGCTCAGGCCTTCCTGTGTGGAGTTTGGAGTTTCTCCCCGTGCCTGCATGGGTTTTCTCCGGGTGCTCCGGTTTCCTCCCACATTCTAAATACATGCATGGCAGGTTGGTGGAACAACCTGTCCCTAGGTGTAAGTGTGAGCACAAATGGTTGTTCGTCTCTGTGTTCCCAGCGATTGGCTGGCGACCAGTTCAGGGTGTACCCCGCCTGCTGCCTGAGGACAGATGGGATCGGCTCCAGCACACCCGTGAAACCCTCGTGAGGTTAGGCGGATTAGAAAATGGAAGGATGAATAACCAATCTCAAGTGTCATCAAGAAGACCAATTTTGAAGACATGGACGGCATCAAAATGACCATGGTGACAGA